ACCCAAAACAATAACTAAATTGTTACCTCTAATTGATGGTGGCTGGGGAGATACCAGATTGTCAAGCCCAGCATTGTAAATTGTCCCTTGATCCCTGGCAGCACCTCCACATAACCCTGTTTTATTTGAAGTAAATATTAATTGAAGCATTTTTATGAACGCTTGCATAACCTCATACATGGTATTTATTGTAATTCAAGACATGCCAGATGATTTCAGTTATCCTGATTCGCAAAGATGGTTCCCTAAGTAATGCAAAGCAGAGAGACAGCCACTCTAACCAGGGACATTTTAATTAAACAGCAAAGTAATTTGATTCCAACGGAAGACAGCGTGACCTAATACAACTTGATATGCAAGTCATATATCAAATTTTAAAGTTATAACCACAAAAAACCCACACAATTTAGATATGATCTGTAAATATAGAGTCAGTCAGAGCACTGGCCATTTACAAAACAGGGGGGGTAGGTATTCATCTTGTTACTCAGCAACATCTCCTAGTCATTGCTGTTAATCACTGAAAACATGTTTACTTTTCAACATGAGCTGTGACACCAGAAAAGAAGGCAAGAGTTTCAGCCTGCAATGAGAGAAACAGGGCAGGGGGACACAGAGCATTAATTTGAACCAAAAAAAAAAAAAAAAAAAATTTTGGGGGTTAAATTTTTTCGGGGTTGGTTTTTTTTTTTCTTTTTTTTGTTTGTTTTTTTTTTTAAAAAAAAAAAAAAAAAAAAAAAGTTTTTGGAGGTTTAACTATGACAAACAAACAAGATTAAGCTTGGAGCCAAAGGCAGCTGCGAAGCACGTAGGCTGCAGTCTCCCTGCACAGGGGCACAGCTGCAAGGGCAGCTCACAAAGGAATTGCTCCAAGCTCCTTCCCACTGGGGCACTGTGGCCACACCACAGCAGGTTGTGCTAGCACTGACACGCCAGTCCCCATTGTAAAAACAATAAGCTCATATCAGTTACGAAAAGAAGCATTTCTAGGGGTTCCCTGAGTGGGTCTACAACACAGCACCCACAATAATGCACTGTTGGATTCCTTAAGCAAGCCCTTCCACTGGCAGGAAACACAACTTGAAATTATGGCCTGGAAAACTCACTGGAGTTAATCCCACCACAGTGGCACTGGAGCTCAGTGAGGAGCAGCTACAGGGACTCTCCTTTGAAGACTCCCATGGTACAAATTTGATGACCAGATTGAACAATACTCCTCGTCGCGTGCTAAACAAGGTATCCAAGCATTAAATCTCAGGCTTCAGGCATGTGATTCTCCTAGCTCTCACCTTAGGCTAGCTCACAAAACCACAACGCACACAGGACAAAAACAGCACCTGACACAGGAGATCCAAAAAGGAGAAAGCTCAGCAGTGAGACCCCAGAGCCAAAAGATTTGTCCTGCCCTCAACTGTTGCTGATCACATGTGCACAAGACTCCCATTCCTCATGAAATGAAGTCTTGAGCATCTGCAGGCAGAGAAGTTGAAAAATCTGCATTCGTATCAGTCATATTTAGTTCCAATTCTGTATTTGTGGCTGAGAATTTCAGTGAGCTGCTTCACTTCAGACATCTTGGCCTTTAGATTCTGGCAACATGAAATCATTTTAGGGCTAGTAATTTTGTACTGATGTGATTATTTTGTGCTAATGAAAAAAGCCCAAGAAAGAAAATACTCCACAAATTGAACAAAGATAGCTGAGACTGACCAACAGCATTGCTGCAAAAAACCATGGACACAATAAAAAAAAAAACACATGAGAAGCTATTGCACAAAATGTGAGGCTCTACAACAAGGACATAAGCGAAAGGAGTCAAGACTTCCCCAACAGAGCCTTGAAAGTGACAACAAACCAAAAGCTGACCAGCTAGTTGGAGAAACTTGAAATCACTATGTGATGGCAGTGGGGCAGTGGGTGATCTTTACAGGCCCCTTCTACCCAAAACAATTCTATGACTTACTTCCTGCAACAAAATCATTACATGAGATAGCATGGTACAAGATCAGCATCTGAGTATCAGCTTTGAAGAACTGTTTCAGTTCAAAAGCACAAATATCTTTCTTCCAAAAGAGAGCATACTGCCACATCTCTAAACATTATTTCTCATAAGAAGTCTGACAAGCCTTTAACCTGGCTCTTCAGCATAATTAATGAAGACTACAGCAAAACATCACTGAAATAGTCCTTTCAATCTGAGGAATTCTATTTCATACTGCAAAGACGGTTTTGCCACTTCCTTTGACATACCTGTCCAATTTCCCGATGATTTATCTTTTGCTGTTTTTAATCTAACCAGTATCATGCTCAGCCCAACATATTCACCAGACATGCCCTCCTGGAAAGCTTTCAGTGAAATACCTTTCAAATAAAAAAATTCCTCAGTGTCAGTTTAATGCTAGGCAAACATCTCAGCCAATTTTTATAGCGTGTGATCTGTAGCCCTTACGCAGCACATTGTTCAGTGTCAGTACCTGCCCCTTCCCTGGAAGTGTTCAAGCCCAGGCTGGATGGGACTTTGAGCAGCCTGGTCTATGTCCCTGCCCAGGGCAGGGGATTGGCATTCACTGATCTTTAACGTACCTAATCACTCTAACTCTTCTATGATTCTCTGATACATGATGCAGAAATCCAGCATCAGCATGACGTAGACAAATTAACAGCTACCAAAGGAATGTAATCCAGTTTTGCAGCTAACCATAAAGACCATCAATTGCATAAGACACAGAATAGACTTTAAATCTAATAAGATTTAACAGTTTCATTTGTCTTGTGTTTTGCTAACTACAATACATTTTCTTAAGATCTGCAAATAAGAATTAAAATGTTCTATTCATGACTGACTCCACAGTAATCAATTAATTTATGCAATAAACAATATTTTTTTCTTCTACAATAAAGAGTAATTATCTAAGCATCTCATTCGTTCAGCTCCAGATCTGTTTGTCAGGGACTGTAAAACTCAAGAGGATGCAGCATTTAATTCTACATGGCAGAACTGTGTACCTACCTACTTCTACCACCCTGTCAATGCTGATAAGCTACTTTTCAAGCAAAGAGGCAAGGATAACCATGTTGCACCTCTCCTGTCACCTTCCAAAAAACATTTGAACCTATGGGGCGATTTGAATGAAGCCTGCCAGTCACGAGGAGGAAAGGCTCTCAAGATAACACTCAAGTTGCAGCATCTCAGAAAATCTCTTACTGGAAAGGTACCCTGCAAAACTAGAAAAAGAAACAAACAAACAAACAAAAAAAGTAAAATGCAAAAAAAAAAGAAAGATTAAATCTTAGGTCTCATCAGTTAAAGTCAAGATTAGTATAGTCACAGTGCTCAGCTAACTGGCTAGGGCCAGGAGTCCTAACACGTATTGCCTGCTGCAGCAATATAAAATTCTTCAACATCCAGGGCTCTTTCCTCACTGATGGGTATGGTTACATCAGAAACTATCATAGATCACTAGCCATATTTTCAAACATATCAAGCTGCCTAATAATAGACACCATTTCCATTGCAGAAGTGTGCTCCATATTGCCTAATCATTAACGTTAATTTCAGCTGATTTTTTTCAAACAAACTGACAACTAATTTAACATCAATTTCATCTTTAAAGTGCTCAGAATGTATTGTTGGAAGGAACTGAGAGACGTAAAAAACCCAGTATATCACCACAATTTATGTAAGATGTGTAAAACATGGTACAACTTTTCTATGCGTGCTGTGAAATCTGACTACAGCTGCCATACAGCACAGAGAACGGGTGCAGATCCACACCAGATCCCCAGGGCTCCAATCTGGAACCAGAGTTGCATTTATGCCTATATTGAATACTCAGTATTTTTTCCACATGCACTGAATAAGCAATCCAGGATAAACCCCACACAGTAGTTACACCCAACTGACAAATGGAAGAAAAAAAATAGAGACAAACTAACTGCATATTTATTTTTGTCAAGTTTTAATACAAACAAACACAAGTGAATCCCAGAAAGTCAGCAAAAACTGTCTGAAACCAAGCTGGATTTTCCTACCTTGGACCACAAGAGGGAACATTACTTGCACTTATGCTGGCCCCACTCAGCCCTTACATTGCTCTTGGTTAATGAGGTGTGCAAACACAGTAATTGTCCCTAGCACTTTGACGAAAAAAGGTTGCTCAATATGTGCCTGGTTTTTATCTTAAGGATTATTTATGAGCCAGAATCACAGCAGACATTTGGGGCACATAGCAGGGCTGAGAACTACTTAGGCATTTGCAGGCAACCATAAAGGATGTAACTCAAGACTAAGAACTTCTCTACCTCACCCAAGGCTTCCCAACGTGCTCCGCTAAACTTTAAACCTACAGGCAGAAGCCAAAGCAGGCAGGTGGAGAGGAGATTTCTGTGACTACTAGGCAAGAGCAACCAGACACATCTTTGGCACGGAAGCAGCTGCCAAAGCAGCAGGTATTGCCCAGGGCAGGCAGGGCAGTGCTGAGCTGAGTCATCCTGCCTTCCCTGTATCCCCCCTCCTGCCTCAGGAGGGGCTTCAGCCTCACACAGCGTCTCCCCCAGTCACACCAGCCTCGGCTTAAAAGTACAAAGCCAAACACACACACACAGAGCTGTCTGCAGCCAACCAGTGTCTGGGCAGCGTCTCAGGGGCTCTTTGTCCACCTCACCTTCCCCAGTACCTCTCCTATTATTCCCCATCCCACATTTTTTCTTGCTCCCTGTTGCTAACTTCTGTCTTTGTTGCATCCATTCCGAAAACGAAAAAGCAAAGATGACATTGCTGTCACTTTTTTCCTTTTTTCACCAAATCGACCTTGTTGGAAGCTCTACTACTCAGCTCTCCACAGCAGGTTCAACCTATCGAACTGTACTTGTGCAAAAAGAGCTGCCCCCAGTACTGGGTGACCTGCTTAGAAACACTCACCTGTGGACTTCTGTAAGCACATCACCAGCGCCGATCTAAAGATTATGAACTTGCATAACCAAGTCAGCAGTTCTTTTCGTGGTTTCAACAATCATATTTATTCCTTGGTTTAAAAGGTTTTGGTTCAACAGTTTTAAAAACAGACTTCACAAAATGTGCAATTTTTATAAACATAGTTCTTAGTTGTAGTGGTAGTAAGAATCTTTACTTTCATCATAAAGTTCACTTCAGTTATGCAACACAAGGTTGGTTTTGTTCCCCGTCTTCTCCCTCCCCCAATTGGCACTTCATTGTAAAATGGAGAAACTTTAAAAAGACAAAAAGTTAATCTAAGCATGATGTTATAAGCACCTTGCCACAGTATTACATTCTAATAAGGCAAATTTTTGTTTTGTAAAGTCTGATTGTGCAACTTGGAGACCTATAAAAGCTGACAGAAATGCCAGGCTTCTCCTGTAAGGAACAGGCTTTCATTTTTGCTTCAAAGTTTTCACCCCTCTGCACCATCCCCCTTTTAAAAAAAAAAAAAAGTACAGCTGATAATACAGCAGAATATACCCCTTACAGGGGGAAAGGAAATTACAGTAGACAAAGGCTGAAAACACAGTGCATAGTAGACAAAATAAGACTGTACTTAAAAATAAAATAAAAAAGAAAGAAAGAAAAAGGAACGGAAAAACAAGAAACAATGGAATTTTTCTGGTGGAAGAAGATTTCTGGGCTTCATAAATAAGTGGAAAATTACTAAAACACTTTGCTGTATAATATAAAAAAGCACAAAGGGGTTTCCAGTTGTCACCTAAGCGCTAGATGCAACTTTGTAGGAGTAAGTATTTGGAGGCAGCTTTGAGCTCTGGTTGGTACAGGCATTCCAGCAGGGCAACGCTGCCAACAGCAGAAGAAACCCACCCAGTAAGACACAAAAGCCGCTGAAATAGAACGCGGTGTCGTACTCCTGCGTACAGTCGTAAAACCAACCTGAGGGTGAAAGTAAGAGAGAAGCACATCAGTGAGGAGTTAAATGTAACACAGCATGGCAAGTTAGAGAAACATCATGACAAAAAAACCAAAAAGGCCAAATCTAAAATGCAGTTTGATCACTTAGACATGAAATGTGCTTTCCATCAGAGCCAAAACCAATCAGTTTGACCAACTCAAGCAAATCAAGCTTTAATTTTTGTTGAAGGTTTTGATTTCATCTTTCCATTGTTATTAGGACCAACTGGAATGACTCGAACGCAAATTAATTCTGTCTGGTCCTGACAAGCTCATGTTAATTTTATAGTATTTACCTTGACCTTACCTACAATTGGTGGTCCAAGGCTATTTCCAAGTCCAGCAAAGAACATCAGGATCCCATACGCGTGAGTCAGTTTCTCAATTCCCACAGTCTTTGTTGTTACATACGGAAAAATTGACCAGTTCCCAGTCAGAAAACCCAAAATCCCAGAAAGCATCGCTAATGTAAGGTAACTTTTGGCAAATGGAATTGCAAACAAGGCCACTCCTGTCATTAGTAAGGTAGTTACGTATAGATATAAAGTGTTAACCCACTTAAAATCTGCCATTATTCCTAAAGTAAGTTTGCCAACAGCAGTCATAATGCCTATAATGGAAATCAGGGGCATACGATAGTCATCTTCATTAACGTTTGCACTTCTTGCCACATCTTCCATGAGCAGAGAAGGAGGAAATCCACCAATATCAAAGAGCAAGATGGCAACAAAGAGAGCTGAAAATACTTTGTTCTTAAAAAGAACCACGGTTTCCTCCCAGTAGTTCAAGTAGAGCTGCCACTTCCTTTTGGCAAGTTGTTTGCAGAAGTTTGTCTGTTCTACAACTTTCTTTTTATAAGTGTCTTTTTCATTTACATTTATTGAGCTTAATACATTCTTATTTAAAATGCTATCCTGTTTGTACTCAGGTATATTGTTTGCACTTTTTTCATCAACGTAGCCCTTTTCAAGGATGCTTATATTTTCTTCAACGGTCTTCTCTTTTTCGTGGTAAACAAAATATTGATCTGGGACTTTGTCTACACACATTTTTTCTGGTGGAGGGGAATCAGATGACTCCAATGGTCTCATCAGACTGCCACATGCCAATATATTTAGAGACAGAGCGCCAACTATTAGCAGACAGCCATCCAGTCCATATAGATCAATAAGCCCTCTTTGCAATGCTGCATATATAAAGAGTCCAACGCTTGAGCCTATAAAAGGAAAATAAGATCAGTTTAAACTGAAGAACTGAGAACATTCTTCAATACTAACAAACTTCTACATTTCAGCAGCTACAGATACACTGTCACAGGAACGGTGAGTCATTTGTGCTCCTCTCTCCCCAGTATAATGAACTGGTAAATTACCATCACTCTTGAAATTACAGTTTCTTTATTCAGTAGCCAGGAAATAAAAAGCCTTCTGAACAATTTATGATGATCAAAACCACCAGACACTTTAGAAACAAGCAGGATCAATACTATATCTGATGAAAAACCTCAAAGAACTATTAAGCCATCCTGCTGTGCACTCACATACATGTATCCCTTCAGGTGCCATTTTGAGTTCCCACAGTTAGAATTTCACACATCAACATTTTCCCCTTTCTCCTCCTGACTGCCACCTTCCTCCTCTAAGGCAGGAAGAGGCCAGGGGCTCACCAAAAGCCCTCCTAGAAACAGTCCTTGACTGCCCAGTGTTTAAGGAGTGGAGCCCACATGGTGTGATCTTACTCCAAGGACATTTCTGAAGCTCTGCAGGGCCAAACGTGCATTTAAGAAATTTGGTTATTCGGAAGAAAACACTGAAAAGTAAGCAATTACTATGAACACAAGCATTTTATGCAATCCCATGAATTTAAAGAAAAAGCTCTCACCTGAAGTGAGCATAGATCCATTTTAATCAATGGATGTCCACTCACAAATACAGAGCATTGTTTTTTCAAGTCAACTTAAAGACAAACTTAAAGTAAAATGATTTGCTGAAGAGTGCTCTATGGAAAGTTTCCCCTCTTATTACCCATGGCACACAGCCCAAGCTACTCATGAATCTGCTTTCATTTCATTGAATATCCTTTTCTCATCTACATGAATAACCCATACCACACACCTGCAAGTGTAGTTACTATTTTATCTGAAGCCTGATTTTATCTATTCATTGCTACTGATGTTTTGACTTGAGTACTTTACTTCAGGAAGTATCAGAAAAATATAATCTCCAGTTTTTATTGCCAGAGTAATGGTAGCTGCATCAGAGTTGAAAAGTTAGAGAGAATGACAATTAAAGGTCATACCTGTTGAAATCAGACCAAGTGCAAGGCCTCTGCGTTTGTCAAAGTACTGGCAAGTGATGGTAACTGTTGCAGTATACAAAAGGCCGCATCCAAGTCCTTGAGAAAGAGTCAGAAATAAAGCCTGTGACATACTCTGGGAAATGAACACCCCTTTTTATTCCCCAGATAACACAGTAGTGTACCCTGGGCACATTTTACCCCTGGCTCAGCACCAGCCACACGGTGTCGGGGCCATTAAGCTGCCTGCACTGTCCCACCTCCCTCTCCCCCGACCACCCCTGGCTGCAGAATCAGTGTGGAGCAGGCTGAGGAGATCAGCAGCTCAGGTTCTGTGCTCTGTGGAAGGGTTACATGGCTTTCAGCCCAGAAAACAGGAGAGCTGCATCCGTGTGGCACCGTGCCCGAGCCAGCACGCTGCTGGGTCCCTGCTGGCCAGCGAGGTGCCTGGATTCCTGACACAGTTAATTTGATAAACCACCCACAGCAGCCCTCTGCAGCACAGAGGGGCAGGTCACCACCTGCTAGGAGAACAGCACTTTCATGCCTCTAGCACAGTGTTTTAGGTTCAATGCAGTTATGTGGAGAACAACACTGCTCCCTAATATTCACTCATTTATCAAATTAGAATAAGTACATGTCAAAATTCCAGAAGAGATTCCTTTAAGATTGGCACTTCATGCCTGTAAAAGACCTGCTTGATTACACCCCTTTGGTAAGACCTCAGCATCTCCATCTCTAACAATTGTGTCAACAGAGGATAAACTGCTTTTTACCCTGAAGAACACATGCATTGCCTTTATCTTTCATTACATGGTACCAGCCTGCCTGTGTGACATCCCGCCTTGCCCCAAAGTAAAGTATTTCTTGATAAATCAAGTCCCAGGCTACCTCTGTGAATCAGATTCTCATTTCAGATTCAGAAACCAAGACCCAAAATAATAAAGATTAAACCTCTATATGAAGGGTAGGTATTTCTTACCAACAACAATCCCATATGAAATATAGAGAAAGTATATGTTAGGTGCAAAACTGCTCATCATGAGGCCCCCGGCCACCATAAAGCCACTGAAGATTGCTACTGGTCTTGCTCCAAAAGATGATACACATATACTGCAGACAGGACCTAGAGGAAAAGCAGGAAAAACATTCCTAGTAAATACCAGCACCAGGAAGAACTTCTAAAAAATCTCATTCTGTGGAAATATTTCTTATGACAATTACTTAAATACATAACTATAATAAACAACAATTTGGAGTACTCATTTTTACAGGATTCTTTAAAAGAGTCGGTTATAAAAACATACAAGATCAGGCTTGCAAGATTTTTGCTCAATGAGAAACTGATATCAAGACCATGAAATGCTACTGGGGTTGGGAGGGAGAGAGTGAGCAAAACATTCTTTAGACACCGGATGATACATACATACAAGACTGTAACACTGTCGCTACACACCTAAGGACTTGTACAATGTTTCTGAAAAGAATCTCCCTCATTAGGTAGCAAAGCATGTTAGACCATCATCCATGCTTTAACCAAACAGGTATTTTTTGACAGAGCTCAAAAACCATGTTTCAGAAAAGAGAATATCTGAATTCATCTTGATACAAGATGAAATTTATAAAACTGAGATGGAAAATAGTAGCTTCTGATCATAATAATGGTAAGAATGCCACCTGGTGCTTACATAGAGGAAATATCTGCTGATATGCCAGATAAAGACAAACACTGCTCTTCCCTGATTTTCTAGGAAATTTAATATCAGCTAGCCGGTATTGTACCAAATACTGTTCACTACCTATCTTGGTTTATACTGTAAAACTATGGAAAATAAAAAAGCATTTATTAAGAATGTCCAGAGCAATGTTCATGAATTTTGGAAGAGGTTTCTCCCTCTCTTTACCCCACTCTGTTATTTCTTGGTTGGTTAGTTCTTCAAAACAAGAACGAAGTGCAGGCAACATTCATACTCTGCCTCTGCCCAGCCAGTTCTCCCCTCACAGAAGCTGTAGAACAAGCACTCATTTTCAGTTGTGTGCCCTGGAATACACCTTTTACTCTGAAGTAGCACGCAAGCTTGGTGCCCTGCATAAATAAGCAACCAGTGAGGGACTTGGCTTGGAAGAGACAATCTCTCATCTGAAACCCTGCAGTTCCAAACATTCATACATGGACGTAATATATTACCCCTGAGATCCTAAACTCACCAACTCTGAGATTAGAAGTTAGACACACAGATGAATGACATTACTTAAAAACCAACAGAAAACCTCCCTCACCATCTTTTTGTACCTCATTTGCAGCAAAACAAAGACACTCCATGGTTGATAGGATCTGCAAAAGCTGTAAGGTTGGAGTCTGCCGTTCGTTAAGGCTGGTTCTCCCTGACTCACACGTAGCTGAGATTCCCGGCAGATGGGAGGTGAGCCCAGGAGGTGACACGAGGTGAACAACAGTTGGAGCTGAGGACGGTGCTTGCCTAGGTTTGCAGACGGGAGCGAGCAGCTGGGAATGCAGGCAAGGTTTTTGTGTGGTTACCAGCCATGGGACAAGCAGTTCTGGCAGGCAGGACCACAGATTCATTAGCAGGTGAAACGATCCTCAAAGGCAAGGCAGGTCAGAACTTTTGCCCTACGTAAGAGCTATCTGCCATGGCAACGTAAAGGGAAGCCAGTCTGAATTGGGGCTTATCCAGCCCAAAAAACAGAGTTAACGAAGAGTCGAGAAAAATCTTCTGGGGAAGTGGGGCTTATTTGGATTTTGGAAACGTCAAAAAAGGAAGATGTAAGCACTTGCTGCTTCTCAAGAGTGAGCACGCTGTGGGAATGAAAGCTGGCCAGAAGAACTTGGGCAGAGCAACTTGCCGAGAACAAAAGCTGGGAGTGTTAGATTGTTGCTGATTCTTAGAATTAATTACTAGAACTGGCAAATTAAGATTGGTATGTTTCCTAAAACCACAGGATTTAAAAATAAACAAAGGATTGAATCTGTATTACATAAAAAAATTCTTGTACAGTAAAAGAACATTAGGTAGTGATAACATAATTCAATTAAGCAGAGGAATTTGCACTCTTTCTATTCTTTATTTCTGACCCACTACCTTGCTAAAACAAACGGTATTTCCCTCCCACCTGCTCACTGTATTTTGACACAGCTACTTTCAGAAGGTCTCTGTCAAGCCTGGGGAGGTCGTACTGGTACAGACTGCACTGATGGCTACTAGAGGATCCAAGGTGAAGCTGGACCCTCTGACCCCAAGCCAGAACAAGGGAGATACAGGGTTGAAAAAACACATCTTCATAATCTGACAAGGACACTCTCCTCTGGAACACCATCAAAAGCATCTCTGACAGGGTCCAAGGAGATGCTCTTCCAGTTTCTCCCACTTACAAAAAAATAACCCAAAAGGAGAACAGAAAGTACAAAGAGATCTTTTTGTTCTGACATGGAAAACAACCTGCACAAAACTGAAGAACCTGCTCCAATAAGCTGAGTATTAACGTGTCATCTCACACAGCAAGAGATCTGGCAGCTCAGCAATGGCCCTGCTTTATAAGAAGGAGCGCCAGTAGAAGTATTACAATAGTTATTATAGGTCTCTGGGATGAGAAGAAAAACAGCTCCATCTTCCCCTTCACATTAGGCCCTACTTTCACACTGCTAGAAAAAAAGTCACAAAAGAAAAGCCCCATGACAGCCAGCATCTTTGTTCTTTTCCCTGCCTCCTCGCATTCCTTCTCTTTCTCTGCTTCCCAAAGAGCTGGCATTTTTTTTCCTACCAGGCACAGTACCTTTGGTTATTACCATGGTATTTGCACAGGAGTTCACTGTACACAAACATGTTATTCTCTCCAAGTAATTCAAGCACAATGGGTTCAAGGCAGTTAATTCTAGTCAAACATCCAGCTTTCCCAGAGTGGGACTGAGACTTGGTCTGTGAACTCCTGCCCCGTGGATTTTGTTCAAAGTGGACATTCTGAAGAAAGTGGGAGTCTACGTACAGCCACCATAGGAAACAGCTCTTCAGGCAGCGTAAGGGTTTTCATTAGCTGACTCTCTTTCAAAAAGATCCTTCTACTGATTATGTATTTCTCACTGTAACGTGAACAACATAAAAATAAAATCTCAGTGGCAACTCTCAATAATAAGCATGGAAATTAGCACTGGTATTAGAATAATTTTTTAAGACACTGATAACTATTTACTTCTTTTACAAATAAAATCCCTGGGGCTCTTTTTCTTCCAAATGATGTATTTTAAAACTAGAAGATACTCTACCAGAAAACAGTTACCACCATAACTGTCGTTCGTATGAAGGACAGCTAAGTCTAGGAAGGAAGACTTCAAGGCCAGCACAGGGACATCCACTGCTCTTCTGCACACAACCTCTCAAGGCTCAGCAGCCAGTAATACAATTACCAGGCTCTGCAGGGGAGCAGTCAGGAAGATCCCCAGACAAAATTGGAAGCATCAGCAGAAAGATGGGCTCTCACAGTAGATCTTCGTGCAGAGAGACCAAAGAGGAAGAACTCCAAGAAGGAATCATTTGTATATTGATAGTTTCATTAAGATTTTTTTAAATAAGAGACTTCACCCTCAGTGAGACCTGGTTGTGACAATGAGTCCTTCCTGAGGCGTGAAAACAACCCATCTGCTGCTCACACAGGAACTTCATAACTACCATGATCTTCTGACCTCCTGACAAGTACAAAGTCTTTTTGTTTAATGTACATCAAGAACATCACGCTCTCTTCCTCAATCTTTCGCATGAAGAGGAAAATTCTGCAAATTAACACTCCCTTACTCCACTCACCCATCTCAAGGGTCCTTCCTCCTTCACCTCATGCACGCACAAAAACTTTTGCTCAACACGCAATACCGGACAACTGAGTTCTTTTTCTTATCACCTGCATTAATCTGACGCACCCTACTTGCTGGTATCTGTCCGAGCCTGCTGAAACTGCAGAGTTGAAGCAATGCCCATGGACTGCACGTAAAATCCACTGGACAGAACACAAGAATATTTTTTTCATATTTAATGCATTGCTAAAACCTGGTCATAATAAATATAATATTCTCCAAATGTTTGTACTTTGGATAAGAATATAGATCAGAAAAAGCCTTTTTCCACTGGACAGCAACCTACTCCCAACTGATTGAAAAGACTTCTCCTTTCTGATAAAGTTATTAAATGAACTGGGCTCCTCTTTGAGATACCTTCTCCCCTCCCCACAAAGTATGTATAGCTTCCATAGTTCACAGTAGGGACTATCTCTGTGCAAAGGTTTTTTAAGGGTTGTAAAAATATTGCCTGAAAACAGAAAATTAAGCTTTTTAAACTTTTAACACTGAGTGCCTCAGACCAGAAGAAACACCCCATTAATTTATCAAGACATGCCTTCAAGGAAGAATCTTCCTTTTGTTCTTCCTCCATTACTAAAGGGGAGTGGGAATGAGAGACATATTCCTGATATCTCCTGCTCTGCCAAATACTGCAAAGTCAACTCACTATAAACAGCTGTGGCGCCAATTACAGGTGCCAAAGGCTTTGTTTTGCTTTTAGCAAGTATAACATGGATCAAATTTAATTTCAGGCTCTAAATGGATGTAAAATTAAGAACACTTGGTGCAGGAGAAACACATGATCTTCAACAATGTAATAAATATCCTCCTCTGGCCTGTTTTATTAGGGGGAACATGCTAAGCTCTTTCAATTTCTTCCTACAAAACAACCCTACATCATCCATGGAGCCGTGTGCCGCAGCTCCTACAGGCTGATCAGCATGATGACACCTCATGTTGCAGTGGAGTACACCACTGCCCTGTACAATAACATTGATGCTTTTCTTTCCCTGTTTTAGGAACATTTCTTCCAATACACTATAAGGTCACATCACAGAAAGTTTTAACTCCGGTCATCCTGCAAGGAAGAGATCAACCTGTCCCGTTCCCTTTTCCAGTTGATGAGCTGAAGGGTCCAGCTTGGGGCTGCACAGTGGCCTTTGCAACGCTCCCTGTGCTGCAAGCAAGGGGACAGAAATCGAACACCAGGCGGCCAGGAAATCCATCTCAACAAACAAGGTGCTGTACTGGGTTTCTATGTCTCGAGTCTAAGTTTAGCTCTCGCATAAGTCAGAGGTAAACACTGCAGAAAGGATACAGCAAATGTGAAAGGACTCACCAGCATCAACTACTTCCAAAAAAATAATATGTTTAAGACTACATGTACAGAGGGAAGGGAAGAAGACACACAGAACCTTATTCCGTGCCAGCTGGCATACATATCAGTACATTTTCTTCTTTTTGGTGAAATTACAGCACTAATATAGCAAATTCACTGGACCTAGCTTCCACTGTTACAGACACTAGCTGATGTGATTTCCAGTGCTATCAATGGGAAAAGTCTTCCTGAAGAAAATGGACACTGACTTAATTCATGTATGTAGCTGTGAATCTACCATAACTGCCGTTCTTTTCCAGTATGGCATCTACAGCTTCAGAAAGGGATGTTAAGTTGGACCAGGCTCAGAGAAGAGTCTTAACAGCTCTCCAGAATAGCCTTAATTAAAAGCATGGAAGTCTCTTGTATCAATTGCAAAAAGACTGTATCAAGTTACAGGTTTAAAAGAAAATTTAGAATTTGGTTGCAGCCTCTAGACATACACCATTCTTATTAAGAGACAATTCAAAATATACCACTTAAAGGTAACATTATTCATCAGCTGAAAACTAAAATTAAGCAACATACATCATAAGACTACATACTTTTCAGGATGTAATTAACTGCTGAGAAAAGTTGTAAGAGACAAAGAATGCACTGAACAAACATGCTCTAAATCAAATGAGAATTCCAGTATTTTCTGCATGCAACTTGGATTGCTTTAAGAATACCAATACTTGAAAACATGTCTTTGGATAATTTGATCAGAAACTGGAAAGCGAAATAAAAGAGAAGAATGGAAACAACAACAAATATTAGAAGAGTCAAGTCAGGAACAGTAAAAGGTAAGGGGACTACCAGAAGGCTTGGGTGTGAAGCTGTCCTGCTGCTAGCATTCACACATGCAATATCGCTGCTGAAATCAGCTTGCCTGGGGAGATTGTTAAGTTATTAAGTTAAAGACAATATCTTTTCACATACATGAAAATATGCTAATTTAAAAAAATTCAATTATCTCGATCATCTACTTAACATCGGTTACAACACACAATAGTCCCTGGTCTATAATATTGGAACCTGCAATAGCAGAAATAAGAACAGAACAAGTTCTCTTTTCCTATATTCATGAAAAGGGCCTTTGCAATGCATTGTTATCAATAGTTCTGCACTGAAAACACATACGTTCCTTACACTAGTGACTAGGTCTGAAAACAGCCTGCTATGAAAACTGCAAGAAAAATTGTAACTTGTCATTCTAGTTTTCTTGAGCATTCTAGTTTTAGGCAGAGGTTATGATACTTACAGTGTCCTTCCAACAAGTTTACTTTAAGTAAAGTTATCACTGAGGTCAGATCCCAGCTCAATAAGACAGTGGGATCTTCCATTTCAGGTAAAGCAGGTAACATATATATTTTGTTTTCAGCCAACTCTGATAACACCAGTGCAATTAAAAAACGCTCACTGTACTTTTTTTTGAAGGCATTATAAATAGGAATGATTATTAAGCTTCCCAAACTGAATGAATAAAAGCACACTGACAAACAGTGTTACTCCTAACACATCACAATTTCAAGTAATTTAATCATCCCATACCAACATCGATTACAATAGTACCTTTTATTTGTATTATTCAGTCACAGAAGTTTCTATTTGCTAAAAAGCACACTACTGACAATTGCTCACAGTGGCAAGACAGAAGGCACTAAAAAATCTGGAAACTCGCATGGTGTTGACGTATGAGAAACAGGGTTGAGGCTCTGGTCAGAAGAGTGAGCCAGAGATTTCTGGTCTCCAGGGAGAGGGTTTTTCTTCACCCCTTCTCTTGCAATCCCCTTCTGCCTAGTTTTTCTTCAATAACTATCTTGTTTAGCCTTTCCCCCCACACACTTCATTCTCTCACTCAATTTTTTTTAGGTCTTGATCCATTAATAATAGGAGTTAATGTCCTTAAAACAGGAAAAAAAAAAAGTATGTCAGAAGAGCAGTCTACAGTCCTTTGTCCACTTACACCCTGGGACTGAATAGAATCTTCTTGTGGTTAATGATACACCTGCCTCTGCCCAGTTCTGTTCTGCCTAGTGATATAAAACCCTAACACAAGTGTGACACCAGGATTTGGCCAGTTACCGCATCATACAAAGCAGTGGGGTTTAGTCAGGTTTGTACCACTGTTTGTACATCAATTTTCTTTTGAGAGATTTCCTCAGAATCCTGAGCTGCATTTTGTCCATTAAGCTACATAATTGGTTTTGCCAGTAGCAATTTCTCTGCTGACAGTCAATTTTTTCCAGATTCAGCAAAAAGATAGTAGTTCCCATGGTGAATCTTTGAAAAGCAGAAGTTAGTGGTATAACCCAGTACAATACCCGTGCTCAATATTAAGACAACAACAGAATTGACCTATGGACTTTCAAAGTGGTGTTTTATTTCCCCCAAACCCTGCTGTTACTCTCCAAGTGACAATGTCTTACTAAAGAATAGCTTCCAGTAAAGTTGTTTTATTTAATGCCACTGTTATCCATAACTTTTCAGGCTTCAAAGTAAGTTTTTTCTCAAACAGTGGAAAGGAGCCCTCACCCACCCTAACTGGTGGGTTTACTTCTAGAGCTGAAAAATGAGTAACTGGCTTATTGATTGACTTTTCTTTTTTTTCCCTTAAAGCACTTGAACCATTTCAGAGTAATAGCTTGCTCAGATTTTAAAGATAGTAATGCAAATTAGTCTGAAACCCTCATGAAAAAAATAAAATTGAAAAAATCCCATCAACAAAAGTACCATCCAGTTTCCCAGACAGAGTTTCATTTTTCTAGTTTATTCAAATATGGTAATTTTGAATTTTCTAAGGGCAATATTTTAATTGCTCTTTTACCTTTATATTGATTTATGTATAGTGGAGCTACAAATATAATCTTCTTAGCTGTCCTGAGCTAACACGAAAATGCAGCATTCTCATTCTATCATTTGCAGCTGACTTTAATAAAATTCCAAAAGCCCACAGAGATGAAAGCATCTATTAGAAATAAATGTTTTGATTTTAGATAGACACTGCATCTACACTTACTGGCAAGCAATCCGATTCCATTTGCTAGTGATCCGACCCAGGCAGTCTTGCCTTTCCCTTCTCCAAAAGCATCCAGCCATTCCACATACAAGACCCCGACGGCCAGCGGTGATCCGTAACACAAGAACTGGGTGATGAAGGACACGGCAACGATGACCCAGCCCCAGCCACCATCTGGTGGTTTCCGAAACACCATCTTGTCAGAGGAGTGCAGATGTACAGGCAGAACCTGTGTAAACAAAAACCAAACAGAACGGAGCATGAGAGATGTGACTGATTCAGGTTTGCTAATATAAGTGAGCTGGACACAGAAGTACATATTCCAACATTTCAGCCACCCTTGCAGAAATATATGCAACACAGCACACAGGCAGTGAAAATTAGTTACCACTTGGTACTTATACCTCTTCTGCACAACACAGGAACAGCGCACAAAGCATTAGTAAGTCATACATATATCAGCACTGTATTACAGAAAGGCAGAATGTTTCGTTTTCTGAGGGTTAAACAGGCTCAGTGAAGACCTCAGGCATTAGTATCTGACACAGTTCAAAGAGAACCACATGGCCACCACCTGTTAAGCCCTCAGATATGCTGAGTGAAGTGTATGGGCTTGAAGGACAAGAAAAGCTACAATCCCAATAAATAATTAGGATTTTTAAAAATCCCACAAGTATAAAAGCATTAGTTCAAGGTAAAAAGAAATAAATATAAATCTCTACTTAGTTGTAATCTCTGCATAGTACCTTGCCGTTTAGCAAGGTGTTTACCACCAGATAGTGTACTCTGGGAGAAGTAGGCCAAAAGGAAGACTGACATTCTGGAAATAGTAACAGTTCAGCACTCTGCTCTGTCAACAAGGTGATGTGTAGAAGAGTAATGCATCCAAAAATCACTTTGTACGTATTAGTAAGTGGAGTGAGTTCTAAAACTGTATACAGGTGTTGGCTTACATGCGAAAACATGACGGCACTAAACACACATGCAAAAATCTCCTATAACCTGTCACAGTGTGTGCTCTCTGCACAGTTGGCACACATCCCCATCCCCAAACTGGCACTCACTTCTGGGACTCCGTAAGTACCACCAGACTCCTTTGCGTGGCAAGGCCCATCACCTACGCACCTACGGCTTTAAGTGACTGACCGTCCTCACACCTTCTCAAGACTAGTTTGTGAATGTAGAGACCCATGTCTCTAACATTGAGCACAGAATTTAGAAGTTTCTAGGCTAAAGTGCTTTGGAGTCCAGACAACTCCCTGTGCACACAACTGACCTGCCCTCCCTCGCTACGGGGAGAAATCTGCCGGAGTGGTGATCACAAAACCCATGTTCTGTTCCTGGCTCTGTCACTAACCAGACGTGTGATTCCCAACAATTTTATTTCCTTTACCCTGTAAGATAGAAACAGATAAGATCTTACCCTGTTTTCTTCGTGAAATGCTCTCAAGGGCCATCTTCACACTGCACTTAGGCATTAAGACTGCTGCAGTAACAGTTCTGCTCTGGGAGACCCCCAAGAGGCAAAGCAGAAAAACAAACACGTCGCACTGCCTTTTTCACTTACAACCCAGAGGAGATGGAAAAAAAAATTTACTGCTGTATGAAAGCAATGGTGTAAACAAGTAGACAGTAACAGAACTTCCATTTGAGCTCCCCTGTACTCTTTCCTCGGGCAATTTTTAAAAATTTGCATGGAAAACTTACAAAAAAGCTACAGTATATAATTTTGAGAAATAATTACTAAAGAGACATGAAAAAGGCTAGGCACACTTAAATGTTATTTAGAGGGTAGATACTTACAGATGACAAAGAAGTCCTTCAGCTTCCTACAAATGTAACTTCAGGTGGTGACTCTACCTGCAGAAACAGAGCAGCAAAGCAAGTTTTCAGCCAAAGTATCACTGCAACAGTGAATACAACTACGAAAAACTGGTGTTTTCATGGTAAATTTATTCTTTTTAATAACTTTTCAGAGGAATGTCAAAAATAATCAAGTTATCACAGTGGAGAAATACTGATCCCTCCCCAATTAATTCAAACCTGACAGCAGCCTTGAGCCCCAAAATAACAAAAACATTGTCTACTAATGTAAAATAAACTTTGATCTACAGTTTTAACATACTGAAAGTCCTTCAAGATACAGTATTTCCAGTTACAAATGTTACAAAGTTATATGTTTCAGTTATGAATGTAAGCTCTGATTTATTTTGTCAAATGACTAGTAAGTGTCCCTTGATTACATGAGATGCAATGGTGACAGCTAGGATAGACAGAAATCAATCATATAATACCATAAAGTATCAACGCATGAAAAAGCTGGTTATAGGAACTTTCCTACAACAATGACCTTTATACAAAAGGGGATCCCTGGATTTCAACACAAAATATTTAAACTATATATGTGCAATCAGCAAAAGAGCTGACATACACATCTCTCCTTGCATTCAATAAGAATCACTTGGTTTGTTTCGTCCCCGACTGGAGGAAAAATGGTGGCAATAAGTAACAACTTCAAGAGAAGACACTTCCACTGAAACAAAGGAAGTAAGTTTTCAGAAAACCACTAAAATAATAGAAATAGACAGTAAAAAATCCCAACTCGTATTTTTTTTTTAAAAAGTAGTCTTTAGAAAACAAACACATTTTAGCTGTTATGTTGATTTCCACTATATTGACACACTAAAACTTGGCACAGAGAGAACTCTCAGGTCAGCTCTGCTATTCTAATCATTTGATGGGGAGGAAGGGAGGGCAGGGGAGGAAAAGAGTTTTTGTAGTCTTTGGTCACGTAGTTTTTTCTAATAGAAAGACTAAAAAAAAAAAACCTCTGGATCAGTTCCTCATCTGCCACAAGTCTGTACAGCTTTATTGGCTTTAACCAACTGTTCCCAACCCATGGCAGCAAAAGACCTCCCGCATCCTGATGCCTCCTATTGTGCACCACAGATCTCCTTTGCATCTTTTAGCCAAATAACAAGATTTTACATAGCAAAAATATCTCTACTTTCTAAACACTTCAAACCATTTACAGTCTGCAATTGTCAAGCAAAAAGCGAAAACCACCGTCATTCCTTCCCTGTCCCCCCCTGAAAGCATCCTTAAAGTGAAAACAGATACACGATGTCCCCAAGTTTGTTTTTAAGAGCCAACACAACCTGGATTTTCCTTCCCCTTCTTGCAGGTTGCTCCTTCACTTCACAATGCTGGGTGCCTATTACCTATAATAAGGTGTATTTTTTAACTTCCCCAAAGGCACAAAGTCCTCCTGAAGAGCACGTGAACTGAGAGCCCGTCGAGGAGAGCCCATTCCCCAGAGCCCTCTGCTATAATTCATGGTTAAAATGTCCCAGTCAATCAAGCTGCTGCTGGGACTATAGATATCAATACACCTTTTATTGTCACAGTATTTAATGCTTTCCTGAAAACAACAAGCTGTAGTATAAAAGCTGAGTAGCGTGGACAAGAGCCAACAGCAGGAGCTAAACCTTTGCTACTCCCAACACTGCCTGCACGGGCATCGAATCTGTGCCTCCACTTGGGAGGGATCCAAAGGGCTTTTTACGATTTTCTGTCTGTGTGGAAGGAGGACACAGACTGTGCAGATACATGCGATCATCAAAAATAAAGCAGCAGAAACACACAGAGAAAAGAGCACTTAAAGGTTTTGTTTTCTCTTGGAACCAACTAGGAAGACTTGTCTGATCCTGGAAGGAGACAAACAACCATGGGTTTAAGATTCAGGTGGGAACCGCTTCACAAACCTTACTGTTCACAAAACCTAAGGATGCTGTTTCAGACCCCAGGAAACCTACTCGCATCAAAAATACTGGAATGGAGAAATGAAGCATAAAGAATTAAACAGTAACTTGAAGTTTGGTCAGAAAAAGCTTTTCAGTGAGTTGTACTCACTGCGAATAAGAATCAGAGGAAGAGAGCTGCTTGATGAAAGTCTTTACCAACAACAACAAAAAGAAACCCTAGAGAACAAACTGAACAACATGAGTTTTAATGTGCCTGGCTGCAACTGATTTCTTTTATTTGAGCAGCTTGATCGCAATATTGAGCTCTTTTCTACAAATCTTAAAATTTGGCTTAAAGATGACAGAAGAGCATGAAAAATAATTGGTCTAAAGAACACGAGGGAACAAATGAAACGTTAGCCCTCAGCACAGAAGCATGTATTAATCTGTGGCAAAGGGAATCTTGAGAAAGACAGTAGCAATCCGATTGTTTCCAGTTGGTTATTTGTGCAACTGGAGTCTGGTTAAGTTTGCTGTTTTCGGCACATGGCTGCAGAGAAAGTCGATGTCAGCAGAATCACTGTGTGATTAACACTCAGCTATTCCAGTTTTGCAAGGCATTGGTACAAATTAAGATGGTACCAGCCAGTATGGTAACATCCTTCATTTTAAGCTGAATTAGATTTCACATAAATTTCTGTTTATTTTTCAGGCAACGTTCTGGCAACTATCATCTGAAGACTCTGCTACCCTTAGCTTGCAAGGCACACCTAGAGCGTTGGAGGGGCAGTGATGCATTATAGCTGTTTTTAACGTACTCATCGTACCCAAACACCTGCATATGTATTGACGTGACAGTATAAGCATTGCACTAAATGCACTGAAAAAGATGCATCTGTACTTTGATGACATCAGACTTTAACTGGTGTTCTGACTACACTAGCTCCCCATGTATAAATATTTGGCTTTAAGTTCTTTCACTCTGAATGTATACATTTCCATCTCAGTTCTCAGCACTCATGTCTATTTCTCATGTTCCTCCACTTTCCCTTTTGTAAGTTACACAAGCGGCTCATCAACAGACATATTTCCTTCCATTTCTGCCTGACAAGGGAAGAAGCCTGGAGTTTAAAACAAAACAAAATACCGGAACAAAACTTATCAACGACACCAATAATGGATTTCCATTGTTCAAAATAAGTTCACAGGGAAAAAAAAAAAAAAAGAAAATAAAAAAAAAAAAAGAAAAGAAAAAAGCATCGGCCAGGGCAGCACATAAACCAGCCGGCTTTGTAAAATCTGTCAGCTCAGCAGAACCAGTCCTACCTGTTCCCAGAGCCTCATTCACTGCCCCGGAGGGGATGGAAACCCCCCCCCGAGTGTAACTGCCTGTCAGACCCCCCCACGGGTGGAAGCCGGCGCTGGTACAAACCACCGGCCGCCTTGATTCCCCGGAGGAGAACCCTCTGCAAACCGAGAGCCCGGTGTGCGACGCCGTGATCACGCACCACAAGCTGCCAGGGCTCCCCTCGGTGTCCGCTCCCCAGGCTGCTCCGCGCCCCTCGGCCGGGTCCTGCCCGGGGATGGAGGGATGGAGGGATGGATGGGCACTTATACCCCCGCCTCGCCTCCCCTCCCCTCTCCCCACGCCCCCGGGGACCAGCCCACACCCCCGCTCCGGGGGGACCACGTTACACATTGACACCTTCCATACCCGGCCCCGTTGCGCTGGGAAGCGCTCCTCCGCGCCGCGACACACGCCAGGAGGCTACCGACGGTCGCCCTCGCCGGCCCGATGCCCCGCACACGCCCGGGGAGGATCGCACCGCGCTCCCGGGCAGCCACGGCCTCCCAGATGGGCACCCACCCGTGCTGGTAGGTGCCCACTGCCGTGTGCCCACAGCTGATGCCATGAGGCTGCTGGGTGCCCACTGGGTACCAACAGGCGCCCACGACGGACACCGGTGGGTCCCCACAGCCAACACCGAGGGGTGCCCCCGGCGGGGTGGGCGACGATGGGCACCCCAAGGGACGCGGCCGGCACGGAGGGGTGACTGCAGATCCCGCTCCCCAAAGGCTGGGCGTTGCAGAGCCCCCTCAGGGCCACCAGCCCCGTCCCCCCGACACCGGGACAGCCCCGCCAGGCCTCCCGACGGAGAGGGGGCCGACCCGGGCGGCGGCGGCAGCGGTTGGGGGGGACCGTCCGGCCGCTCCCCGTGCCTCCCGCCGGCCCGGCCCCCTGGCTCCCCCCCATCGGGAGCCCGCCGGCGCCCTGCGACCCCCCCCGCCCCCGTCCCGGCCGGAGCCCGGGTCCCTCCGAGGCGGCACCGT